AACAAAACTGACCAACTAGAAGCTTTAATTTATTGCTACGACCCGCATGTTTTTCTGATAACCGAAACCTGGCTGAATGATAATATTCTTGATAACGAAGTCGTACCACCAAGCTATAGGTTAATTCGCAGGGATAGGTGCGGCAGAGGTGGAGGAGTAGCTATAGCGATAAAAGACAACTTGGTTTTTCAATCCACGGAACATGTTGGTGACAGTGAAAGTGTGTGGTGCAAGTTGGATTTCTTCGGAACTTGGATAACTGTTGGAACGGTATATAAAAAGCCAGGATCATCCTCTGAGGACTTAGATAAAATCCTGGATTACTTGATCGCAAACACTAATAGTCGAAGTAAATTGATAATTGGAGGAGATTTTAACGCTCCGGACGTCATTTGGTCAGATGATGGTGTGGCTGTCCAGGACACGAGGATGTCCGACTCGCTTCTACAATAGACCCTTTCCGAAATTCAGTGCCATCTGGTGGCTGAACTGGCGGTTTAACTTTTGCCATTCGAATGGCGGCAATGAACCCGTAGCCTGCAGTATTTTATCGGGCACCGTCACTTTTGCATGTCAACGGCAGACGAGAATAAACTTTTCGCTATACAGGTTTTTCTGGATCATCTTTTCCAGTGTGAATTCGCACAACGATGCAACCAGTCAGAACGAAGCGCCAACCCAGACAGACGCCTTCATAAAGTTCTATAAGTCAAGGGCTTTCGAAGTCGATTTTGTGCCACGGACAGGTTCACTGGGCTCAAATTAGAGAAATGAACACTTACGCAACGCTTGCATTCAATTCCGATTTCGCAACGTGCTAACGTCTAGAATGTATAGGCCTCGAATCCTCAGCTTAGGAGTATCTTCAACATGTTCCTTCATCAGTAAATAGAAAGACGCCATTGGTATGGCAGATATGCCATTTTTTAGATGGTGATGATAGTGATCAAAGTGGCCAGACTGAATTTCGGAAAGGGTCTATTGGCTTTCAGTCGCGGTCTACGTCAAGTTGTTACGGAACCTACGCGTGTTACGGACACTACATGTTCACTACTCGATCTTCTGTTTGTTAGTAATCATTTCGATGGTTGTGAGGTTTCTGTTCAGGACGGAATATCCGACCATAAGTTAGTATTTTTAAAATGTGATATTTCTGTTACTAAGTCTAAACATTATGAAAAGAAGATGTACTATAATTTTGGTAGGGCAAATGATGAATCCGTTATTGACATTCCTGAACAGTGCCTCGATAACTTCAATCAGCGGACTGAGGTAAATGAAATGTGGCTGAGCTTTAAGTGTATAGTGGGCCATTGTCTTGCTCATTTTATTCCAAAAAAGACAAAAAAGATAAAACGCCGAAACCCGTGGATAACACGGGAAATTCTGCACGTCAAACGGAAGCTGAAAAGGCTTCGGAAGCGTCGATCTGATTATGTAAATCAGCAGGCGAGGCCACTAAAAAGCTTAATAAAATTGGCTAAAGAAACATACTATACAAGGACGTTACCTGAATGTTTGCTATCTAATCCCGAAAAGTTCTGGCGTTACCTATCTCCTAAAAAAAGTGGTATTAAACATATATCTATTGACGGCAGCCTGGTGAGTGCCGATAATAGCAGTTAAGTTCAATCAGTTTTTCCAGTCTGTATTTACAAGAGAGTCATGTCAGAACATTATTATTCCACCCGCAGATGACATGAGCAGTTTTATATCTGAGGAGGGTGTTGTTGCACTACTACTTTCACTCGATGAAAAAAGTCCCCGGGACCAGATGCTTTGCCGAATGCCTTTTTTAAAAGATATGTAGAATGGGTGGCCAAATACCTTGTACGAATATTTTCTATATCAATCAAGGATGCTGCATTACCGAATGACTGGCTAGTCGCTAGGGTTGTCCCTATAAAGAAATCTGGCAGAAGTGACTCAATTGATAATTATCGTCCTACCTCCATGACTTGCACGGCCTGTAAATTACCAAAACATATCATAACCAAACAACTCGTTTCTTTCTTAGAAATGCATAATGTTCTAAACCCCAACCAACATGGTTTCCACAGTGGCCTGTCAACGGTAACCCAGTTGATTGAATTTTACCATGAATTAGCCACTTACGTTAACAACCGTACGCAGGTTGATGCAGTGTTCATCGACCTGTCGAAGGCATTCGACCGGGTACCTCACCGCAGACCAATTAAAACATTAATAGACCTCGGAGTTCCCTTTTCTTTGACTAGGTGGATCAATGCATATCTTTCAAACCGTCAACAATTTGTGGATATAAATGGTACTTACTCAGGACTGTTAGATGTTCATTCTGGGGTGCCCCAAGGTTCTGTTTCAGGGCCCCTACTTTTTTTAACTTACGTTAACAGTTTGTTCCCATCCACTGAAGATGTACCAATTAAGCTAGGAATGTTTGCCGACGACTGCGTTATTTACAGTCCAGTTGTTGAAATACAAGACCAGATAAAAGTGAGTGATGCGCTGGCTAACATTGCGTCTTGGTGTTGGGAAAATAACATGAAGATTAATATTAGCAAAACTCAGTACATGCATATTACAACAAAAAGAACTGTCTTAAACTTTAGCTATGAGGTTGCTGGCGTAGTATTGACTCAAGTAGACAGTTACAAATATTTGGGAGTGATTTTGTCTTGTGACCTCGGGTGGAAAAAGCATGTGGAGTTTGTTAAAAAGCGGGCAACTAACAAATTGTGGTACCTGAAGAAAACGTTGGGTAAAACTCCCCCTTCCGTTAAAATTCTTGCGTATAAGACAATGATTAGACCTGTGTTAGAATACGCGTCTGCAGTGTGGAGCCCATGGCAGAGCTCTCTGGTCAAAGAACTTGAAGATATTCAATCGCTAGCAGCGCGTGTAGTTTTTTCAGATTTTTGACGAACTACGTCTGTGACCGAACTTAAAAGGAGAGCCAATGTAAGCCCTCTGTCAAACAGAAGAGAGAGCCAACGGTTGAAGCTGTTCTTTCAGATTTTCAAGAACTGTATAAAAATTGATGGCTCCGTTTACTTAAAACCAAAAAGTTTTTACTCGGAACGCTTGCATCACTCAAAGACCGTAGCCCCTATTAAAGCTCGAATAGATAGCTATAAACAATCTTTTTTTGTGCATACAATTGATTTGTGGAACAGCCTTCCCGGTGCTGTTGTCGATATTGATTCACTCTGTTCTTTCGAGAAAGCCTTAGATATTATTTTGCAGTGCTAAGATTGCTTTTATTGCTCTTATGAAATTATTTTTACTGTCTTTATTTTTTATTACTGCTGTTACATTCACTGCTATACTGTTATTGTTATTACTAGTATTACATTTGGTTACTGTATTACTCTTGATATTGTTTCTCTTCTTTCGAATAAGTCGTAGATATTATTTTTCGGTGCTAAGATTGCTTTTTGTTTAGAACTGTTGTGTTTATAATTTGCATGTGTGACACTGTATCACCCCACTCCTGCCTTGGCCCTATATGGGCTGGCAGTTTTGATAAATAAATAAATGAATAAACAACAAACTCGAGAAATGACAAGATACTTCCCCCAGACTCCGCGGAGGTAAGGAAAACATCATTTTCATGCCATATTTTCTCCAACATGAGCCTCGATAAACGCACATTTTTCTTCCACATCAAAACTTGAGGCCGAAAAACACCGAATTTGTAGAAAAAAAATTGAGTCAACAAAATATAAACCCAGAACACACGAAACCCTCGGCTTCTAGTGCTCCCCGTTTTCAGGGTAATATTTCTTCTAACTCAGGGGTGTTTTATTCTGGATTTATTTATTTTCACAAATTCAGTATTTTAGTGTTCATTTTCGACGTTAAAAAAAAATCAGTGTTTATTTCTGTCTCCTAAGCTTAAAAAATATCGGGCACGGGCATGTGATTCCGCCACTTCCAGACAACATGTGCGGCACCGGAATACTTGAAAGGCGACCTGGTAAAGATAAGCGAAAGAAGCGAAGCAAGGCGTCTGGTTCCCGAAGAAAGAAGAAGCCTCACGGAAAGCTCAGTGCCGACTGCGTTCAGGATTAACGCAAATAAAGTTCTAGATAAACACTTCTTTTCGGGAACCGGTGTTTTCTCTCCTTATTCAATGACAGCTGGGATTCGTGAGCTTTTTCGCTTCTACGGATTTTGATAAAACCTGCTCAAAGTAAATTATTGGCGCTTATCGGTACCTACGAAAACACGGGGCCCTTTTTATAGCACACAAAAGAAACTAAAATAGATAGCGCTAAATTTAAAACTCAGCCTCCTCGTCATGTTCTTATTTTGTGTGCTTATAAACAGCTAATTGTTTGGATTTTGGCGCGCAGAAAAAGTCTTACACATTGTTACACGTACAGTCTTGAAGCGGATACACCCCGTTCAAGGCTTCGAACAGTCAACATTCCTATGGCACGTTTTTCTCATTTACTGATCAAGCCTCTTGGTAACCCCCATAACTGATCCGAAATATAATGTACAAAATGGAAGACTGCATAACAGAGTGTACTTTTTCTAAGCAGTAAATATCCCGGAATTGCCGCCGTAGCGGATAAAGACGTGCGTCCTCTGTACTATTCTGCACACCGATTTCTGCTCGATGGGATAGAGATAATGGAAGGACTAGCGTATGTCAATTATGTAATGGGCACCGTACTTTATATGACCGGAAGTTGTTTAGGGGCACATAAAATGCAACCATATTGTTACTATAGCAAGAACGAGTCTCCCCAATTTATGCATCCAAACATGCATTACATTATTTGTTCAATAAAGTTAGCGACCTCACCATTTACCTGCACGGTCGGGCGGCACCCGTACAAACCGGAAAAAGTAGAAGTGAGCACCGTTTGAGCATGAACTTACCTTTTGGTGTTAGGATCAGTCGTATAGAAACGGCAAGAAACCAAGAGCACAATAGCAACCGAACGAAATGACTCCTTTCCAAGGTTATTTGAACTTGAATTTGGCTCAGGATGGTGCTTTTCACTAACCTGCCTCAGAGTGCAAAAGTTTAAGACGTGGCTCTCGGCGAATTCGGGGATAGCCGAGTTGCCCGCGAAGATTTCAGGCGAGCTGAAGTAACAAAAGGTAGGCATCTTGTGGACGCGATTCTGCTGACATTACGCTGACAGGTCACTGATAAACAAGAGCCCTGGCTTGCCTCTTACCCTCTCCTCCTATCGAGGAAGGCTCAATTTGCATTTCCTCTCCTCGTTCACCGAGATTCAAAGTTTTTAAAAGCATAAAGAAACAACGAGGAGATTGCCGCACAAATGCAATCAGATTATGTGCGATATGGCTATCCATTTTTTTTTTTTTTTAGGGGCGAAGCTCCTTAGGGGTTAGCCATGTCCATATGTCCGTCCGCCGTCCGGCGTGCCCCTGCTCGTGGGCTCACGAGCAGGAGCTCACGAGCTCCTTCCTGCTCGTAAGTTTAGCAGCGAGAGCAAGAAAAAAATGAAAAAAAGGATGAAAGGAAAATAAAAAATAGGGGGCCCTGAGATGCCCTCCCATATGTCTTCTTAAAAAAAGAAAAAGAAGAAAACCCCACATTCTTCTACTGACATGAATGAAAACGGCACCATCAGCACTACCTATGACCAAAATCAGTATCAAGAAAAAGAAGAAAAAAAAGAGTATGGGGTTCTGAGTTGCCATCCCATCTGTCTTCTTAAAAAAAGAAAAAGAAGAAAATCACACATTCTTCTACTGACATGAATGAAAACTGCACCATCAGCACTACCTATGACCAGTCATGTACACGTTACTAAAAATAAGTAATCGATTACAATTACTATTACTCTTAGCTAAAAAGTATTCGATTAGATTACTTGATTACTCGACACCAAAAGTAACTGGACATTACTTTAAGAAGTAATCGTTACTTTTCTGATTACTTTATTGTGCGAAGACTTACAACTTTAGCGCTCAGAACAATGAACTACCTCCAACGTCGAAGCCTTGCTTGTCGCAAAGACCACGTAGGGGAAATATGGGATCTTGACGTGTATTTGAACTGGCTTTGTTATATTTTGCATCCGCTTTAGGCATTCTTTAGTTCTGGCTCTCCTAGCTAGGCTTCGAGTAGGTACCACTAACAAGTTTTTTTTTTCGTAATTCTGTGTGTGTGCGCGAGGGGGCTAGTTTGAACAAAGGACTTACAAAGCTACGTTCTGCTCCCTCAAGCTTCGTCCTGAATGGTCTTTGTCATGCACTGGGGCTTTCCTGGGGCTTCCCAATCCCAGCTTTAAAAAAAATGACATTTTGCAAAAGCTTTACATACAGAGAGGTTAACCTTGTTTCCTACAGGTCCGCAGAAATCTTTTTTTTTTTTCTGTTGGAAAAAGACCCAAATTTTATTTCTGTCATTTCAGAAAAAAAAAGGTGTGTGCGGGGGGGGGGGGGGTCCCGTGGGAAATTAGTAACGGTTACAAGTAATTTTTATTACTTCAAAAAGTAATCCGATTACTCTTGTGATTACTGCCTAATAAAAGTAATCAACGGATTACAAAATTACTCCAAAAAGTAAACGATTACAAGTAATTTGATTACTTGTAATGCGTACGGTACAAGTCTGCCTATGACCAAAATCAGTATCAAGAAAAAGAAGAAAAAAAAGAGTAGGGGATTCTGAGTTGCCATCCCATCTGTCTTCTTACAAAAAGAAAAAGAAGAAAACCACACATTCTTCTACTGACATGAATGAAAACGGCACCATCAGCACTACCTATGACCAAAATCAGTATCAAGAAAAAGAAGAAAAAAAAGAGTAGGGGGTTCTGAGTTGCCATCCCATCTGTCTTCTTAAAAAAAGAAAAAGAAGAAAACTCACATTCTCCTACTGACATGAATGAAAACGGCACCATCAGCACTACCTATGACCAAAATCAGTATCATCAGCACCACCCGAGCTTCGCCCCAATCAACATCATTGACCACGTGGAGATGCGGTATTTGCATGCATTCACTATGGTTCGTTGCAACGTAAATTATGATATGGGTTTTGTATTTTCGGAGTCTATTTTATCCCACACGTTTGGTGTTTTAGGTATCGATTTCGGGGTCAGATAAAGACGCGGTTTTTATTGGGGATAATTTTAAGGAAGATAGGACACGGGAAAGGGATTCCACGACCTCCAGAGGACATACAGGTGTCTTAAATAAATTTCCCAATATCGGCAGAAAGCATAATAAGGGTTCCAAGAAGGAGGTAGCCTCCGGCACAGTTGAGTTGAAGCTCTCTTCCGGATTAACACAAATAAACCTGTAAATACCTCTTGCCCTGAATTCTTTATATATATATATATATATATATATATATATATATATATATATATATATATATATATATATATATATATATATATATATATATATATAAAGGCAAAAGGAAATCGTTTTTGTTTTTAATTAAGGTTGGCTACAACGTTAATATTGCGGTTTTAATGATATTTAGCGAAACAACGAAAGCCTAAACACATCATAACCAATGCATCTTATCGCGGACAAAATATGTTATCCTCAGTTGATGAAAACTCTGATATTAACAAAAAACTGTCTATTTAACAAACATAAGAAATTATTTTGCAACACGAATCACAATTGGCCAAGAAACTTGGGGGAGAGATACTCCTCACCACAGCTTCAGCGGGTGCCCCGACCACAGCCGGACTCGACGAACAAGGATGCACACAAAGGCGGGCCGACCGAACTCCTCCACAGCCGTAAGAGGTCCCATCTTTGCGAGTTAGTGGGCGTAAGACTCCACAGCCGAAGGGGGTCGGAAATGCCGATTGAGCTCCAGAGGCAGGTTCGTGAGGTTCACAGCTTGGTATCCGGGCGCCGATGACTTTGCGGGCTTGTGGCAGCTGTTTTGTAGAACCAGATTGGACCATCTCAACTGAACAACTGTTTATTAAAGTTACACACCGAAAGTTACATTGTTACAAAGACAATTTAGAGCAGAAGACGCGTTAGTCGCGTCTTTCCTTTAGGAGGACCCAACACAAAGAGACCTGAGCCACACCCCGGCAACTCAGAGATTCCCCCGTTTCTCTCTCGGCTGGTCATAAGGAACATCAAGCCAACCACGTAGTCCAGACATTCTCCGAAAAGCTCCCCGTCCCTGGGTGGGGTTTCCAAGCTCTGTGCCCCCTCACCCAAGGTCAAGTGATTTGTGGTATCCCAGGTGCCGCGTGAAACTCTATCCGAAACAAGCTGCTTTTATTGTGTTTAACAGCATTCTGTAGCCATCCAGGCAAGGAATCCCAGTGAAGTTTCTTAGCACCATTCGGGCGGCTCGAAGCCTAAAGCACACATGAGCATGACGAAAACAAGGCATACACAACACAGAATATATTGCGAACGAATTTCACAAGAGCGGCTAAAACAATGCAAAGCTCGTACGAAGCCACGATCACAAGACCAGGCAAGTACAAGACAAGTCAGTGAGCAAAACAAAAGTACGCAAGCACATAAAAAAAAAAAAAATCTTTATGACACTAAAAGTAAACTTCAGTCAATACGTGCAAACCATTACAACATTCCCTGAACCTGGCTCTTCCGGTTAACCGCTGCCAAACACCGAAGCTTCAGGCAGAACGGTCCGCGGACCAGGTGGCCGTAAACATGTCAAAGACCGACATAGACTGTGCCACTAGACATTCCGAGCGGGGCTCTTCGTTAGCCACTTTGAGGGAAAGCCCTTATCCGGCTCGCAGCGGCGACCAGCGGCCGATTGCACTAGGGGACTCGCGGAGGGGTCCAAAAACAAAGTAAAGCTAAAACAACAAAGCCGCGAAGGCATAACTTTGCGACAATGTATCCGCGGGCGTATCTGAGTCGGCTTCGCACGCGGCTGCCAAGCAAAGATAGGGGTTCAAACTTCGCCGGTCCAGTTCTCTCTTTTCTTGTCCCTTGAGGAATGTTCCACTTCATACTTGTTAGTAATTATGTGTTCTTGTTTAGAGCATTCCATAACAAAAGGTGTCTGTAATAGAAGCGGTAGCACACTGCTTCGAGTGAGTTACCCCTTCGTCGCCGTCGCAGGATGCGTGGTATTTTGTTTGTTTGAGGGTGTTTCAGGATCAAGTTTCAGGCGCTTTTATTTACAGCTCTAAATTCATCTTCTCGCGTTTATTAGCTGCAATGTTCGTCGAAACGCCGTTTAATACAACCCAATAGAAATAACGAAGTCATGCCTAGGAAACGATCATTGTCGTGCCAGTATGTTTTTATGTAAAGTTTAATAATTTCGCACTATGACGTTTAGAAAACGTCGCACGTGAAGTTCCTATGACTTTTTACACGAGTCTCAACAATATATTTTTCAAGTTTTGCCCATATGTGTACAGCCAGAAAAGATTAAACAATGACTACGCCTTATAGTCATGTCCTTCAAGTCGCAAGCTCCTCCTCAGTATTACCCTTGGTTGCATACGACTGTCACAACCCGGCCAGGTGGTAACAGCGCTGGTCGCAACTGGAAGAAATTCGCACCTACACTATCTGAAAGGGCGTGGGCTCAAAAGACGCGGATGCGGACCGATTCAAGAACACTCTAACAAACGGGATAACATAACACATTTACTTCAGCGATACTTCTGTGATGCCTTACTTCTTTCACTCAGACCAAAAATATAGAACTTCAACACTGCATACAATATGCTTATAACTAAAGAGTACAGGGCTTTACCAAGCGGAGGTCGAGGGTCTAGAGCATACAATAAAGTGCTATAGACTGTACCGCACAGTGGAGCAGTCTATCACGACGAGACTTACTAGGTGGAGCCGAAGTTCCTTAGTCGGACGTCACTTCTTCCGTTAAATTTAGCGGGGAACTGAATTCATGTACAAGTCATGGGAAATCACTTTCCCCGCTAAATTTAGCTAGAAGTGCACGGACGGACGGACAAAACGTTTGGGATCGCAGTGCTGTTAAAAAGTATTTCATGCTTTAAAACAGTTTCCAGAGACTGCCTGGCACCTAGGCATCCTTATGTATGACGCTCTTGTCACACTGGTCTACAAACACTGTCTGCAAACTTGTTTTAAGCATATGAATGTAGGATGTAAACATGCTTG